ATCGTTATTTTTTCCAAAACCATTTTCCGACACCATTTTCCAAAACGGAATCAACATAAAATGGAAAACCTAACCTTGACCGGATGGAACTTCTCATCGTAACCTTCACGTACGTTGTTACTTCCGAGCGATTGAAGTCAATATTTAACAGGCCACAGAGATCAAATGATCCTGAAATCAATTAATAATCACGTGATTACATACTCATTCTGAAAATCAAACGAGGATGAAAACAAATCACCCACTTTTTATCTACTCTCTCCTTCCAACCATCATTCTTATTCATTCATCCATTCGTCTTATTCACCGTAAGTAAGAACTTAAGAAGATCTAGCGCCCACCAATCTTACGCGTATGAAAAACAGAATCCACATCAGTCTTTTCTTTTATACACAAAGCAGCATAATCCCTATGCCGGCATATAACAGTGTGCATCATACGATACACGTACACATACAATACATGTATGTATGTATGAATTTTTGTATGTATGTATGTATGTATAGACCAATTGTATGTATGTATGTATATATATATGTATGTATAATACATTGTATATTCATACCATACATGTATGCATGTGAATTATATAATACACATTGATACAGTTATGAACGTGTATATGTTAAATGTATATGTATTGGATTATGTATGTTAAGTATGTATCTATGTATGTATTTATGTATGTATTTATGAATGTATGTATGTATGTATGAATGTATGTATGTATTATGTATTACAAGTGAACGAATCAACAGACTGAACGAATATTTAATAAACATGGACTGGTCAAACGTTTTAAACTGTGAGGATGTAAATGTCGGGTTTCAACGATTCATAGAGATTTTTGTAAAGAACTTCAACGAATGCTGTCGTATTTCATCAGTAAGAAAAATTAAAAAAATATCACGTAATAAACCTTGGATAACCGATGATCTTGACTTAAACTAATGTTAAATAGAAAAACCAAACTGTATACAAAATATCTAAAAAATCCGAATATTGAAAATCTAATTGAATTAAAGTCAATTAGACAATCTTGCACCAAATTTAAAAATAAACTAAAAAAAACAATATTATAGCGACATCATAGTAAAGAACATAAAAGATAACAGAAGAACGTGGTCGATTATTAAGAACATTATCAGCACAAATAAAATCACCAATACCGTCACATCAAACAGTGAAATTGTTCGTTCTCCTGCGGACGCCTTAAACGATTATTTCATCGGTATAGCTATAAAACTAGGTTCATCTTTCAACAATTCAACACTCTGGAAAAATCACCTCACTAATAAACTTCAAAACCCGTTCTTCTGTCTGTCGACCTCAAGCGATGAAATAATTGCAACAACCAGATGGCATTCCTATGAAAATAATAAAATCTACCATACATTCAACAGCTCACATTTTGGAATTCCTAATTAACCTTTCTTTCAACTCCGGCACATTCCCACGATGTTTCAAAGTCTCAAAAATTGTACCGATTAAAAAAGATGAGGGATGCAATGATTTAACTAATTTTCGACCCGTTGCTCTTTTATCAAATTTTTCGAAAATAATAGAAAAAGTAATGTACAAAAGGCTAAATATCTTCTTCAAAAAAAATTTCATAATTAACGATTCACAATTTGGATTTCGAGAGAAGTACTCGACTGAGCTGGCAATAATAGAATTGATCAGAAAAATAGGGATCGCAGCAGAAGACAAAAAATACATCGTAGGCACGTGCCTTGATCTCTCGAAGGCATTCGATTGCATCAACCACAACATCTTGCTGGCGAAACTAGACCATTATGGAATACGTGGCTCGCAACTGAAATGGTTCAAAAGTTACTTATTGGAGAGAAGTCAATTTGTTAGCTGGCAGGGTACATGCTCGAGCGAAAAATTAAACCAAATTGGAGTACCTCAGGGCAGCATTTTTGGACCATTGCTATTCATTGTCTTCATCAACGATCTCCCGAAAGTTTCAACATTCTTTGATTACATTTGCTTCGCAGATGACACTAATCTATTCAGTACAGGCAAAAACATCGATGAACTCATCTTGAAGACTAATAGTGAAATTAAAAAGGTCGTCTCATGGTTTGAATGTAATGTGTTGACATTGAATAGCAGAAAAACACAAATGATTATTTTTGGCCCAGTCCAATATTTAAACTACAAGGAGCCATATAAGATCGTAATAAATAATTCGGATTTTCTCGAAAGCAAAACTGTTAAATTTTTAGGAGTAATATTGGATCAAAAATTATCGTTTCAACAACATGTTCGATATGTTTGCACAAAACTAGCAAGATCAATTGGTCTATTAAATAAAATAAAATTTTTCTTGCCTAAAAGAATTCTTAACATGCTATATAAAGCCATCTGTACTCCATATATCTCATACTGCAATACAGTCTGGACAAGCGCCTATCCAACTACAACAAATCCAATAAGAATAATCATGAAGAGAGCGATGCGAACAATCACACTTTCCAAAGCTCAATCCCATTCACAACCGCTATTCGCCACGACAAGCAATCTGACTTTCGATCAAATGAGTACATATCACGCGGCAAAATTCATCGACAAACAATTGACTGGTAAACTACCTCCGATTTTTGACGGTTATTATAAACGAACGAAGAATCAAAGGCGCATCAATTTCATCTGTTCCAACAAATCAAAAACGAAAATTTTACATCAACACATCATTTGCAGAGGACCAAGAACTTGGAATTTTTTATTAAATAAAGGATTTAATTATGACAGATCGAACATGCAGAACTTTAACCATCATTTGAAAGCATTTATTAGTTTGGTTAATTAAAATCACTAGTTTTAAGAATATAAATTACATTTTTATAAAATATTTATGACATCATGTGTGCTCAGTTGTATGTATGCGTGCGTGCTGACGTGTACGTAGATATTTTTATATACGTATGTGATCCTATTCTCTTCTATCTATAGCTTATATAGATAGATTCAATCAGGTATTCTATATGCAGTTTTGTATATAGAGAAATATAGACCTAACTTATTATTAGGATCAATTAGTAACATCTCAAAGCTAATACATTCCATTTAGAGAATCTGAAGTTTTTTGTGGTGCACGATGATAATATTTTTATGAACAGTTAGTAACACCGTAAATATAATATACTCCAATTAGAGAATCTGAAGTTTTTTGTGGTACTCGATAATTTTATTTTTACGAACAACTAGTAACACCGTAAATTTAATATATAACATTTAGAGATTCTGAAGTTTTTTGTTTGATGGCTGTGCCCGATGATTTTGTTTTTGTGATCAATTAGTAACATCTGAAGGTTAACATATTTCATTCAGAGATTCTGAAGTTTTTGGTTTAGGTGGCTGTGCTCGATGAGTTTTATACTAACTCCTCACAGTCAACCTGCAGCTTATTTTCTTTATTGAGGACAAATAAATTGTTTCGTTTCGTTTCGTATGTATGTATGTTAAAACCAAATCATTGACGAATGATACCAAAAGCCAAGCGTCTGACTAAATTTGATTTTATTTGCTATAACGTCACTCAACCCCGTCGGCATTCAACTCCACATTTTCCAACACACAGACGCGCAAAAACCGCTGCAGAATGCACGAGATATTATTCATAGCGAAAAAAAAATGTATGTATGTATGTATGTATGTATGTATGTATGTATGTATGTATGTATGTATGTATGTATATATATGTGTGTGTATGTGTGTATGTATGATATAAAGAGGAAATTTATGTATCGTTTTATGGGCTGCCGGGATATCTGAATGACGACCGTAAAACCATGTACATAAAAATAAAAACTAAACTGCACGTCGTAGAGAAATGTTTCATTCATTCAGATGTTTAAAATTTAAAAAAAACAACGAAAACTCTTTAGAAAATAAAATAATGATATAAGAGGCATTTAGATTATAATCTGCGTTTGATGAAAGTTATGCAAGTTTGATGAAAAGCAGTGAAGAAGTGACAGTTTATTTTTCCCCTTGAAAACTCGGTACGAATCTGTAAAATGTTTGTATATTTTTTGTATGTATAAAATATTTGTATGTTAACAACTTATCCATACGATGTTGTATCTTCATGATGACTTGAGTACAAAACATCTTTTATCCATCTTGCAAGATAATTTTTTCATCAAAATTAACCACTTCAATGGATAATAAACCAGCGAAACAGCAAAAAAGTACATAACATGTCAGTGTTTAACTTGAGCAACCTGGACGATTAAATTCAAACTGTTGTTCGTTTACCGCAGACTAACTTTATTTGATGGAATATTAACAAAAATTTATTTTTCCAGCATCGTATGCAGGCAGACGTCAACGCTGATGCCTTCTCAGATAGGACAGAGGCGACTATAAGACGAGACGCACACTGATATCTCAAAATGTTGAGCTGCGTAAAAACGTACGATAAAGCGTGACATTTTGTTTGGTTGTTTTTCAAAATTGAAAAATGTGAGCTGACCGTAAGATTTATCAAACAACTTTTATTAGCTAGCAGCAGCCACCGTAACAAAATTTTTCTTAATTGTGAATAAATATTGACTGTCGGTCGCATTGCTTGGCAATGAAATGCATTTCGTTTTGACGTAGGTTCACATTTTCAGACTGACAAAATCGAACTTAGAAGTAAAAATGCTTTACTTTACAACGTTAAAAGTGAATAAAAACCAACAAACCGTCAAATTATTTTTGAACAATTTACAATGACGAAATTATCACGAAATTCATACTAACATATTAACAGCGTGAAACTGTACATACAAATTTTTAAATATTTCATACATTCATTACATTTACACAAATGAAGATCAATGCAAAGTAGAAAATTTCATTTCATCTTTATGTTAAAAAAAGAAAAGTAGTAATTTGAAAAGGCAAAATGACAGACAATGGATAATGAATAAAACAAATAATGAATGAACAGCGGAAGGAAGCCATTTAATTGAACATGTGGTGTTACATTGCTACACATTTCATTATGTTTTTGGAGGGTCACTTTTTTCAGATGAAGGATCAACAGCAGAACCATCAAGACCATTCATCAAGAGAATTTGTTTCTTTCCAGTGAAGGGCTGCATTGTTTTATGAATGCCCATCTTGAATTCTGAAAAGGAGATGACCTCATGTTTTGGGGGCTTTAACTTTCCAGCCATAACAAGATCTGTCAACCACTGTATCATGTTTCGTTGTTCCTGACTGCGCATGTTCTCTGCAGTCCATCTAGACATCCAAAAACCAGACAACTTGACGTCATTGAAAATCAAGAGACCCGTTGGAACCATGAGAGGTTGCTTGGACATTCCACCATATGTAACTAGAGTTGAGCCAGCTTCCATATGTCTTTTAAGTGATTGTAAAAGATGCCAGACAATAAAAAAAATACAAAATATAAGCAAACTGTATGAAAATTTATTATCTAAAAAAATGAAATAATTACTTGAGTAAATCTGCAGCACTTTTCCCACCAACAGTATTCAACCCTAATTTTGGTTTAGGCAGATCCTCCAGAATCTCCTTCACCTCAGGACTTCTAAGCAGATCATCTGTCAAGACGTGAGTGGCCCCAAGACTGTTGAGATGGTCGACCAACTTTGAGAGATCTGGTCTATTTCTCACAATATTGATTGTCCTCACCTGAAGTTCTGCAGCAATTTGTATGACAGCCTGTCCAACTGCACTGTTGGCCCCATTCTGAATTATCACATCACCTTTCTCTAACTTTACAAAATCTTTCAGCATTCTAACAGAAAAAATAAAACTATCAAAAATTATGAAAAACATTAATAACTTTGACAGTTAAGCAGAATTAATATACATTTAGCCTTAGCATATCCATTCTTAGTTCATAATTTAATTCATTTTATATACTAAAATAAAATGAAAATAAATGAATAATCTTAAATTTAAAAGATTTGGAAACTACCTATAAGCGGTGCAAGGATTTACACTTAATGTTGCAGCACTGACCACCGGCAAATCCTTCGATATTTTGATGAATTGATCTGCACGAGAATTAGCGTGTGTCCTCCACGTTCCCCATCCAGGTATAATGGAAAGAACTCGGTCACCAACTTGAAAGTCTTTGACATCAGAACCAACCATCAAAATTTCGCCAACTCCTTCATTGCCACCAACGGCAGGCAAAGGTGGTTTGATCGGATAAATGCCTTGAATCATATTCATGTCTGCCGGATTGATAGTGGCGGCCAGCATTCGAACCATGACCTCTGACTTTGAGGGCTTCGAAAGGGTACTCTCGATAAGCTCAACCACCTTCTCAGGATCTCCATTAGACTGGTAAATGAGACTGCTACATTTCTGGCTGACTTTTGAGCTGTAAGTTGAATGGTACACCTTGAACGATCGACAAGAACCCACTAACAAATTAGTGACTCTAAGCTGCATTATAGTTTATTTACCTTATTTAACTTTTAACCAATGTTAATTTAAAACTGAATCTAAGTAATAAAAAGTAAACTTTGACATAAAACATACAAAAATTTTACTAAAATAAATTTTAAAATGTTGATAATTTTGCAACACATTTTTTATTTAAAATAAAAATATTTTATTAACTAAAATTAAAACTCGTTAATGAGTTCAAACGTCAAATTCTTGTAGACCCATCTCCATTTAAAGATGTGTGTACATACATCCATATACAAAATTTTTGCGAAAGGAAGAGATAACCTTGTTAAATAAGTGACTGAAAATTGTTTTAAAGTTTTCGTTTTGTAACCCCATTATATCGTCTGCCAGCAAGTTTCAAATTTATTAAATTTAAAAACGTTTGTATCCATATTTTGAGAAATTTTTTCATTTTGTGATGAGTTGTTACAGTAGAAATATTTTTGAGATGTTCTGTTGAAGTTGGATTAGCATTAGTTTTTGATTTTGTTGTTAACTGAGGAGTGATTTTTAATTTTATTCGATTGCTAATTAACTATCAAGTTTGTTGTTTTCATTTTTTTAATTAATTATTTTTTTCTTCAAAATGGGACGTAAAAAGATCAAAATATCTCAAATTACTGATGAGAGGAATCGTCAGGTTTGCCTTAAGAAGTTTTTTTTTTCAGTTTTTTCATCGCTTCTTTTTTCACATTTATTTTAAAGTATTTCATTTATGAATGGCTACTATCAAATTTCATTGTATATTTTTTCAACTGTTTGCATGTACAAATTTATATTGCATAGATGGGTACATAGAGTCAAATCAATGATGTTTTTTGTTAAAAATGTTCATGGAATTAATACTGCCATACCCAACTAGCACCTACTCATCTCATTAAATCTGCTCAAACAATTCACAGGTAACATTCACAAAGAGAAAGTTTGGATTAATGAAGAAAGCATACGAACTGAGCGTCCTATGCGACTGCGAGATAGCGTTAATCGTCTTCAACAATGCCAACAAGCTGTTCCAGTACGCCAGCACTGACATGGATCGAGTTCTTTTGAAGTACACAGAGCACAGTGATCCTCACGAAAGCAGAACAAACCGGGATATCATTGAGGTAGTACTGATTGTGATCACTTTATAATTATTTTATAATTGTCTATAATTTCATATTTAACTGTTTTGATAATTATTATGATGAATACTGAGTACTGGTAATGATTGTTTTAATTGTTTAAGGATAACTATAATTACATACTTTTGCATATAGGTATATATGTATATATATATATATATATATATATGTATATATATATATATATATATATATATATATGTATTGTATATATATATATATTTATATATATTATTAGGCAGAGAAAATATTTTAAAATAAATTATTTTTTTCTGCCTAATTCATAATATAATTACTTTTTTAATGATTTTTAAATTATTCATATTTAAAGAAATTGTTTATAATAAATACATCACCAATCATATCGTTGTGTTTATAAATAAATAATTAAATAAACAATATAATATAAATAAGTACAGGAATGTAGAGAAAATATAAATATATGTCCATGACTTTATTTTTAAATTTTTTGTAATTTCTCAACAGATGCTAAAAAGGAAAGATTTAAAAAATGGGTATTATGATGAAGTTAGTAGAAGATTTTTATCATTGCCATCATCATTAATATCCGTTGTCATCATTTTCATCCTCATCATCCTCATCATCTTTATTTTTTTTATTATCATTATTGTATCCTATCTTGTACCTTAGTTTCTCTCATTATCATCATCAATTTTATCAGTATCACATTGTTACATATAAACGTTATTATCATTTGTAATTATCACCAGCTTTAGAATAGTATTCATCATGGTAGTGTCATTTTTTAAATTCTATTCATCAGAATTATTTTACTCACTATTATAAATTCATCATCATCATCTTTTACTGGCCATCATTATTTCAAAAAAAAAATTATCATCATAGTTGTCGCCATCATCTCCATAATCATCAAAAGATTTATCATGGTCTAAATCATTAGCAATGGTTATCATAAACATTCTGATGATCATTATCGGAGCTTTTATCTCTTATTAATGTCTTGTATTAGTTGCTATGGTTTCTTGAAGTTTTAAGAACTTGTTTGTAGTTTTGTATGTTGATATTTTTGTATTATTATGCACTTGTGTATTTTTCCTTGTATAATTTGTTGCTTTGTCTGAGTGGCATTGTTGGAAATATCATAGGTGTAGACAGAAAAACAAATTCTTGTATTATATGACTATGTTTCTTCATATGTGCACACACACAAAACGCGCATACACACAGACACAAACACACACACACACACACACATATATACAAATATATATACATACATTGTATACGTGGTAATACATATGTATGTATGTATCACTTTTATAGCTTCATCCTTTATCATCATCTCTCAATTTAGACCCAGGAATATGTAACCGTACTGTCCAGCATGTTCAGATTTTCAGATTAGGTCAGTTCTCTCTTTCTCTCACTCTCTCTTTCTCTCTCTCTCTCTTTCGTTCTTTCTTTCTTTCTTTACCATGGTCACAGCATTGCAATATTTGTGAATGTTTTACTGTGATTGATTTCGCCATGATGTGTTTTTGATTTCTGGTTTAGTCATTCTTGTCTCATACTGTTTTATTTATTTTTGAGCGTTTTTTGAAAATTTTTTAATTTGAACTAAACATAAATGAGGTTTATTATATATATATATATATATATATATATATATATATATATATATATATAATTGTGAGACATGTTGTGATCTTCCAAATATATATATATATATATATATATATATATATATATATATATATATGTGTGTGTGTGTGTGTGTGTGTGTGTGTGTGTGTGTGTGTGTGTGTGTGTGTGTATACATATATGTACATACGCATGGTTAGATTGTTTATAAACAAAGATAATGAACCAACCCTAAATTTCAAAACTGAGAACTACTTGAAAAAAGTACTTTTCAGTATCTATCAGAACAGAACAACAAAACATAACACAACATAATTTAACACAACACAACATAATTTAACACAACACAACAAATCATAGCATAACAACATCACATAACAATTCACGCGTGTAAACATAGCAACGAATTGCAACAAGTATACATTTTGATACACAGATAAACAAATATAATATGACCCACACGCTCATATCAAAGATAACAATTTAACGTAAGTTACTTAACACGAAACATAACATAAAATGCTTTTAAACCTAGACAAAGCTACCTAAATCCATAACAAATGCAAATGAACGAACAAATAACATAACAGTTGAATGAATGGACCAACCACAAGACACACAGAAACAAACCAACATGCATAGGTTTATCACACATACCAGCAAACATGATTATGTGTATACTTTGTTTGAATACATATACATTATAATGAATTGTAATTGGTTAGTATAAGCGGTCGTAAGTTGGGCTGTTGTCCTAGCACTTTTTCAAATCTCTAATTAAAAACCGTTCAGTTGATCTCATGTTAAGCTCTCTCATCTGCTTACTTCCCTACTGGACAATATGAATGTAGGCGGCATGGGTCGTATCATGTCAACTTTCTTTTCCGATGTTATTCACCCGAATTAACATGCTCCACTTTATATTATGTATTTATTCATTTGTATGTTTGTTTCTTGCTCTTATTTTATTTATCTCTCTCTTTCTTTTTCTTTCTTTTTCTCCATGTTTTTCTTGGTTTTTATAACTATATAGATGGGCAACCAGACAGATCACACATTCTGATTATTTATTAACTCATAGTGAGCATTCGGTTGATTCCTCCAAGCTCCAACAACACATTGGGGCGTACCAGGCAACTCATTGCTTGGGTTCCAATAAATACCTATCAATATATATATATATATATATATATATATATATATATATATATATATATATATATATATATATTGATAGGTATATATATAATATTTACTATACAAGTATGTATATACCAACACTTAAGTATTTTCTAAAAGCAAATATTTGTCTTTCTTGTCAACATTTCACTAGTCATCATACATTAACATGTATGTTTAATGTTTAGAATTGTAGATTCTACATGATATATCATGTAGATTCATGAACAAAGGAACCTGCACATGTAAAAATTGGAAGGAGTGTACAGAAACTTTCCATTTGCGTGCAATGCAGGTGTGCATGCGTCGTACAAGCAATCTTCTGCTCATACGTACTGCACGTAGGGTGGGTGATCATCTCTATTCCTTCCTCCTCTCTCTCTCTCTCTCTCTTTCTCTTCTCTCTCTCTTTTTTCATTTTTTCTCTCCTCAATCTCTTTCTCTTTGCTTGAAAGAAATTTTAAAAAATAGTTGTTGTTGGTTCACAGAACAACAATAATTAATCCGGGATTTATTTTTATTCTTATTTTTAGCTGTTATTATTCTTAACTTCTTCTGTTTTGTTGTTTAAATCAGCGCCAAATATTATACGTTGTGCATGTAAGACGTATATTGCTGTACAGTGTATGTATGTATGTGTATGTATTTATATTTCTGTTTGTGTATCTGTGTATGTATTCATTAATCTATTCGTTGTAAATAATTGAGCAGAAGAAGGGGAGGATAGATGAGCGGATGAATTAATAAACTGAAATTAATGAAAAGATGTATGTGTCCAGTGTAAAGCTATATAGGAGCAGGAGCAAATAAATGATGAACATTTTATAAGAATTGAAAAATAGAAAGTATACTAGTTGGATGGAAAAATGGCTTGGATATAGATTTTTAAAATGTTTTGCTCTAAATTTTATTAGTTTTTATGAGTTGTTTTTTTTAAATATGTTTTAAAGTTTTAGAGTTATTATATGGTGATACATTGGTGTAGCAAAATTTTATAACATAATGCGTTTGTCCGTTGTCATGGTTTCGTTTCCATAATTTGTAATGTCATCACTGTTTTATTTTAACAATCATCGTTAATGTCATGCTTGGGTGTGCAAATTTTGAAATTGATGCAATGACGGTGGTGGTGATGGTGGTGGTTATTGCTTTCCGTTACATCAGTTTTAATGGCATGATGCAGTTATTTGTGTATGTGTATGTGTGAGTGAGAGAGAGTGTGTGTGTGAGTGTGTGTGTATGTTTGTGTGTGTGTGTATGTGAGTGTGTGTGTGTATGTGAGTGTATGTGTGTACTTGTAAGTTTTTATGCAAAATGTCATCGTGGTGATCATTGAGAAAATAATTTTAATGAAGCTAGCAATTGATGATGTCGATGATGACGATGATGGCTGGCTGGCCTGATAGTGATTAATGATGAGCATCATTGTCACTATCATCATCATCGTTGTCATTATAGTCATCCAGAGATTCAAATGATAACTTTTTGTCTGGTCTAAACTTTAATGTCAATCTAATTAAAGTTGGTAGTGAGGAAGAGGAGGACGATGATGATGATGATGGTGATGATGATGATGATGATGAGGATGAATGTCAGTTCTTGTGTATGATGATGGTAACGTTGATGATAATGATGATGATGATGGTGATGATGGAGATGATGGTGAAGAAGATGATGATGAATATTTATGTGAGGAGTGCAAGAAAGCTAATAATAATGGCAAGGAGTTTGATTACTTTAATGATATGGAAACTAATTTGACCAGTACACTGATGGTGATGGTGATGATGGTGAAGAGTAAGAAGACGATGTTTATGGCGACGAAGAAGATGATGATGACCAAAATGAAAATAAGCCATATAAATTTGATATCTGATTTGACATTTGTCATCCGTAATTAATTCAACTTTTGTATCAAATTTTATTTTTCTATGCATGCAGCGAATGGTCTTGTACATTAGGCTCATGCATACAAAATATGTCCATGTCGATATTTTATGTAGCTTGTGAGTGTGTGTGTGTGTCTGTGTGTGTGTGTGAGTGTGTGTGTGTGTATGTGTGTGTGTGAGTGTGCGTATGTGTGATGTGATGAGTGCGTGCGTATGACTGCTTATATCAGTTATGTTTTTTGCGGTTGTGAATTTATATAAAAATATTTAATAATATTTTTTAAGCTGTCCGCGAACGTTGCTCATTCTTATTACAAT